GGCCGCTGGGCACTGCTGCCCCCCACCCCCTGCCCCGGCAACAAGAGGCTGTATATTAAAAAAGGGCATTTTTTTAAAACGTTCGGCATTCGAAAGTGATTTTTTTTCAATTCAAAATAATCCCAGAAAACGCCATGTGAATACATAAAGAGTGCATTTTGACTGACGCAAATTGGAATATTTTTCTTGGCAAAGCCATGTAATAAAAATGTGACACACAGGGGTACTGGTAAGAGGCTGACCTTTAATTCCTGGCCCTGATCCACTGGGGTCAGAGGGACAGAGAGCTAAGCCTTTGTCACATGGCAGGGGTCAGCGAGTTGTGTTTAATTTTTTTCCTTTTTTTACTTTCAAATGCAAATAAAGCACGCTACCAATGAAAATAATGACTGCAAAGGAATACATCAATTAAAAAAAAATTTACATAAAGATACCTAGGGTAAAGGTGACAGTAGACACTCCAGCATCCTAACAGACAATAATCCATTTCTTAATCAACTTCTGTCAATAATCATAAGCCGTCCGCTCTCCATGGTTTCCTCATTATAACACCACCTCTTGTGTTTTTAAATAGTGCTTTCTTCAGATGCTGCCTCAGCCCGCGAGTGAATCTGCTGGCTGTATTTGCTGGTTCTTTGTGGGTTTTGGCAGGTGCATATTATTCCCGCGCAGGAGTACGGCCGGCAGCATTGTGGATGCTCTCAGATAACAGCGAGCTGGTGTTGCCGCGCGGTTTCCTCAGATGTCCTCTCTTGCTGCGGGGCTGACCCTCAAGGGCTCTCACACCGGCGGGTTGCTGGCTAGTTTCCGTTTGAAATCCAACATTTTCTTCCGTTTGTAATTCCTGCCCTAATGTTTCTCCTGCTCTAGCTGCCTGGCATACATCTCGCTTGTGATGCTCCCGATCACTTGTTAGAGGTCTGCACCACACTTTTTCCCCCCTCCTGTCACAACTCGCTGTTGTATAGTCTAACAATACTAAATACAGCGTGCTGGTGGCTTTGGTCCTTTATATTTGCCCTGGTTTGTTTTTTTTGATCACCTGTTTTAAAATACAGGCAAAGGGACTGAGACGATACAGGTAAACAGATTTATCTGAAATAATGGCTCTTTTGAGGCAGTCTAATATTACAGCTATTTTATAGTTGTCTTTTGTCTCTAAACCCAAAGAGAAAGAGATGTGATCTTCAATACCTTGATTTGCTTCCCATGAATTGTTTCTCTGGATTAAACAAGCAGCAAAAAATAATGTAAGTTTGTAGTAAATCATTAAAAAGAGCTAATATTTTCTTTTTAATTCAAACTGACTCTCGATGTCAAAGGCGGCCACAGTTTCCATGATATTCCAGTAGGTGCCTTTACTCTCCAAGAAAGGAGAGTAGTTACATAGTTACTCGCTAATTACTTTAAACACAGAGAATAGCATACGGTGCTTTAAAGGAGCTGTTGACTGCCGGGTGTTCTCATCTTCCCCTGGTAGAACGACGCGGTAGAACGACGCCTGCCTCTTCCAAGACTCAGTAAGACCAAGCAGTCTACTGGGAAAGGTGAAGGGGGGAATCAACGGCCTGTGGCTTCAGCAGAGCTTGCGCTAGCGTGGATTAGAAAACACAAATGGGTGCAGCAACAAATATCCGTTCAGTGTAACTCTAAAACAAAGAAAACAGTGTTAAGCCATATTACATTTTAGAGAAAGCATGTGCTGAAATTAAAACAGCAAATTAAGACTATCGGACCACAAAATTTAATATAAGAAGGAGCATGAGGGCTATATGTATAATTAAAAATAAGTAATGAAAGGTAACTGAGCACAGCATTAGCGACCGGCTTACAGCTGAGTACAATGATCAGCTAAAAACTGTGCTGCCAGTAAAAGCTTAGTAAATCATTCTCCTAAAACAATCAGGAAATATGTTTCTTGATAATATATTGCCATCTCATTGCCATCTCATTGTTAATGATGTTGACATTTTTGCAGAAATTACATGTGCTTTTATATTGCGTGCATGCCAGATCAAAAGACAAATACAACGTACAAGCTGTAACCTGCCAGTTCAGAAAATGAGTGTGCACAAACCATGTATTTGATCCACGCTCAGGCTATACACTTACCAAAGTCACTCTTGTAATGCGTGTAAGGTACTTGTCACATACAAGCCTTCTCTGCTACATGAATAACTATACTTTAAAATTTTTCTTATATAATTTTATATGCTAAATGTACAACATAGGTACATTCACAAAATACTCATTTTTCTCTCTAATACAAAAAACAGATGAGAAAATAACAGCAGGAAAAAAACCCACCTGTGTGAGTCCCAAGAGATGCATGGCTGGTATTACAGGCTCTGACTTCCTTATCCCCCATTAAAGACAAGAAGAATTTGCTATTAACCACAGGAACACCAAAAATTTAGCTGCTGAATCAAACATACCACAGCTCTTGCCACAAGGGCACGCGGGGGTGTGTGCGGCGTCCATCAGTTCAGCGCTTGTGGGCAAACACTTATGCTGTCTTCTATAGCTGGAAAGAAAATGGGAATACAACTAAGGCAAATCATCCTTCCATGCTGGTGTGTCCCAAGCAAGGACCACCCTCCTCCCTTGTTTTCTGGCCAATTTTTTAAGCTAGAAATGCATGCGAGCCGCAGCATCCCGAGGAGCACAAGGAGAGCTTCAAGGACATCTCAGCTCCAAGCCAATCTGGAAGCAGAAGTGAAAACCCCTGAGCTGCCTGTCCACCTCCAAACTATTTGTGTCCAGAGTTTCATGTACGGTCGAAGCTGGCACAAGCCATCACTACTGCCAAAAGAGCAGGTCCGTGCTCCTTCCCCCCACAGCAGCCTGACCCCTCTCGCTCCTTGACGCTGGCACCAGTCTGTGCAGCTGCCCGGTGACCTGGATTCAGATGCTGATCTGGGTGAAAACTAATGTCTTTTCCCTGAGGCGGCTTTTCCTCCACAGCCTCCTTCACCAGGTGGCCTTGGGAAAACGGCCGGCACAAGGAGAGCTGGCAGGGCAGGGCAGGGCTGCGACCGCCTCTCGGGGCAGCCGAGCCTACTTAAACCGCCTGCGAGCGCGCACGAAACGATGCTCTCAGTGACGAAAGGCAGCGAGGGTCCATTGCATGCCCCGTGTGGCAATGAGATGTAAAGAGCCAATTTATATGAACCCTTTCAACTTTAAAATTGAGCTAAAAGTTGCTAGAGCTGCTTTTATCCCAGATCGATTGCTGTGGCTTTACAGTAACTTTTGTTAGCTTTGAAACGTTCCCTTTCTCTCCCTGTTCCACGTAAATTGAAGAAACCTCAGTATCAGGCCTGAGAAGAGGATCAAATTCACCAGAGCTAACTCGAATTTTCTCGGTTGTGTAGGCAGAACTGAATTTGCTACCTCAAAAAGGAGGAAACAGAAAACAGTCATGTGCCGGGGTCATTGTTTCTCTGCTATTATGACCATACTAGAAACTCCAGTTTCTGTTCTTTTTTTTTTCCTAGCTAATTTGCTAGTTCTCATGATAATGGGGGGAAAAAATTGAAAAGATACAAAGACTCATTAACCAGAGAGTAGAAAAATACAAAACCAAAAATGTATGCTTAAAACCTTGTTATAATAACTCCAGTTTCACGACAGTTTACCACTTGGGTTTGACAGTACTTGCCCAGCACGCTTACAGTCTCCTCCTCATCCGCTCTGTTGTCCTCTACTAGAGCAAGTGCAACTACCTATCTTAAACACAGGTTTGTTACTACAACTCTTGATGCAGAGCTCTGTGCTCCTACTCTTAGAGTAAGAAATATTAACCACCCCCTCAATCTATGTTTTATTTCAAGCACTGCTGGGACAATTTCTTTCTTTCTACAACCGGGGCCTAAAGTGACAAACGATAACTCCTAATTCCGGGTATACACAACCCGGGACAAAATGCTCTTGGCAAGTGACCGCTGAATGCAAGTATGCTCCTCTCTGAAGCACGTTCCTATGAATCAAGTGATTTAATATTTAAATACATGTTAAAATCATTTGACTAATTGGCAATTGCCTCAGACAGGAAGGATAAACATGTTAGTCACAGCATTTAAGAGACTAAATATGTGGTACCTTTCCTCCTCCAGAGCATGAGTCTCATGTGATCTGCATTGGATATTAGCTCTTTCTTTTAAACTGTGGTCCATTAGATTGTTTCTAGAGACTTCTCCAGGCTTTCCAGCCTATCAGTTCGTAACAAACGCCCTTAGCTCACACAAAAATTGTCTGAAATTGCCGTCTCCAGATGAAGCTAGAGCAAGCTGGCCCCGTGCAGACCTCATTCGGTTCTGGTCCTGGCAGTGCTGAATTTGCCAGGAGGGCAGAAGTGAAGCCCCCGGCACCTGCTTTTGGACTCAGCATCTTCAGGTATGTGTTGAACTCCATGCTTAAGATCCTGCTAAAAAATCTTACTCTCGTCAATTATTATGGCACACCGAAATAATATGTTTTATTTTATGCCCAGATACGTTTGCTTGTGCTTCACTGTTTTAACCTTTGACTAGCCTCCTCCATGCCAAAATAACATATCTTGAGTAAAAGCCTCTTGTATTCATGCAATGATTGTGTTTGATTCATCCGTAAAGTGTTCTTCACTGTGATTCATCTCGATACCATACACCTGTGACATGCAATTAATGTATATGATTAAGGGTGATGCTGCACACCTCTTCATGATTCATTGTGCTCTGCA